ATCAACCTTTAAGCCCCAAATCAAGGTTGCTCTTACACAAGAAAGACTCCATAACCAGAACACAAACAAAAATAAATATCTCCAGCCTTCCTCATCTGACACATGAACACACAGCTGAGGTGCAGCTTAGCCTACCAAACATGTGCTCTCTACATTAGATCAGCCACACACAGACATCCTAGAGAAACTTGAACATACAAAGGGAAGAAAAACACAACCAAGCTTCAATTTATGGCACTGACTTTGCAAAACAAATATAAGAAAGGTGTGTCAAAATGGAAAGGACTGGATTTGCGGATCTCATCACATCAATGAGCCGTGAGAACAAGTGTGGTATTTCCAGTGTTATTAACACACCTGTGAAAAACACTTAACTCATGTCTATTCAATTATGCTAATGAATACATATACAATGACCCTAGTTAGTTATTAGAGCTCTCAATTAGTAGACATGAATGAGGGTCCAATGGACAGAGAGAGACACAGAGGGATAAAGGGGGAGACTGGTGCATATTTGCTGATCAGAAGATTTGCAGCAAAGCACAATAAATAACCCATCACAGATATTAATGAGGACTACATAATGAAAAGAGGGCAAATGAACACATGAGCCATTTTGTCTTCGTCCCAGGCTGCAGCCTCCGTCAAAATGGGGTAATTAGACCTCTAGACCCCTGAGTCTTACCAAAACAGTGCTACAATCAGGCCCTCTTAGTCTGGGTTCAAGAAAGATTCACCCAGACAATAAGAACCTTCATCTGCAGGACACACCCTTCTTTCACCCCAAATGAAATCTTTATTTTAATCAGCACACACACATTCCTTTATTGATTATTCACTAGCTCTAATGGTTACTTTCTCTCAATGTCCATCTTACCACACATGGGCCCTGTGGGTTCTGACCTCAACACGTCTTTCCAACCACCTAACTTGGTTAGATGTTATGTTATTATGTTAGGCTGATTGGTTACTTTAAATTGTCTCTAGGTGTGAGTGAATGGTTGTTTGTCTCTGTGTCCCTGTGATGGACTGGAGACCTGTCCAGGGTGTCCCCCGCCTCTCGTACAGGGATAGCTGGACATGGGCACCAGTGACCCCAGCGACCCACAAAAGGAAGGAAGGAAGGAAGGAAGGAAGGAAGGAAGGAAGGAAGGAAGGAAGGAAGGAAGGAAGGAAGGAAGGAAGGAAGGAAGGAAGGAAGGGTGGGTGGATGGATTGCATTTAGCTAAAGATCATGCAGCTTCTCCTATACCAGACATATTTCATGAACATAGGTGGTTGACTTCAAATGAAGTAGCTAAACATTGATTTTTAAATATTAATAAAATAATTTAAATATTTAAAGATTAAAATGAGGTGTTTTGCAATGTGCAAACGTTCTTGGTTATATTAAGCTGGGAAAGCAACAATAACAATTGGGCAGCAGCTGTGGCTTTAATCCTAATCAAAGAAAAAGATAATTTGCAAATCCTGTTCACATTGAAGAGATATAAGTATTCTAATAGATGTTGATGCTTTATACGCATTTTCACTTGTGACTTTGCAACATCTACCTAATCAAATTACTTGCTGTTAAATGTATATTCAATATTCAAAACGTTTCATGTTTTAGTTGTTTCCCTACTCTTCAGCAGCAGCCCGTTAATTTCTCATCCATGCAGATCAGGTGTTTCAAAGCAGAGAAACATCTAAAACATGCAGGATGGTGGCCCTCGAGGACCAGGACTGGACACCCATGTTATAACTCAATGAGTTGATTAGGTGAGGATGCATTAAGGAAGGAAGAGCTGGTGGAAATGTGTGAGAATAATGTAGGTATCAGTGTATCAGTGCACAATTCCTTGCCTAATTGCATTTGATGGTTTTATGTATAAACAATGTGTGAGAAACAGTAAAAAGATCAATTTTCACTTTAATGGAGCAACAAATAACTATTTAGTTTAAATTCTGACTTGTTTATTAAGGTTTAGTCAGATACATCTTGATGTTTTTTAATGTGATAAAACAGAAATCATTGGTACCTTCTTTAATACAAATCCAGCTGGAGTCTGACAGAAATGTAATATTCCATCAATAATTCCCGCTCGTTTGAGGCTGCCATCCTGATGCACTTACTTTTTTTCCTGCTGTGGCCTAATAGCAGCTGAGTGGTCCATCCACACACAACCACATTAGAAAACTGCGAAGCCAAACACCACAAAAATAAAACCATGGTCACAATTTGGTTTTAGCTTTAAAAAAAGCACAATACCTCACATGAAGCAATTTGCTGAAAAGGAGAATGGGCACTAAAAAACAACAGCTAACCCTCTAATTTATGTATTTTGCAATGATAATTATCTAAATGTTTATGAGCACGGAAATCTTACTGATAAGTTGCAAAAAACAAAGCAAATGTGAGCAAACTATGTAATAAAGTGATGCCAATTAACCAGAAATCACATTAAAGCTGAAGAAATGCTACACATTAAATACACTGACTGCAGAGTTTTAATAAAAGATAGTCAGCGACACAAAAATAAAAAGACATTAAAATAAAAGGCAACAAGATGTAAAATAATCCCGGACAGTAAGCAAACTAGAATTTAATGCTATGCTGGATTATATACAGTGTGACAAAAAAAGCCTATGTTAAGCTGGAAGGCTGTAATTACTCCGCGAGACTACCTGATAAAGCCCCGAGCACCTTCTTCCATGTTTTTTAGGTCAGAACTTATAAGTTCTGCTCCTAAAAGAAGGTCCCTTATGTAACCAAAATGTAAATGTGTCATAACCTAACATTATATAAACCAATCACATGAATAAGACTTTTTAAATACATGTATGTATCATTTTACAATCCTTACAGCTTGATTTTCAGGTCAGCTGCACGTGGCGCTGTCCAGAAAGGGAGGGTGCTGAAATCCACCCCTCTTCCATGCTGCTGAACAGGAGCGCTGTTCACGGTTCTGCATCAGCTCTGCCCAGTCCGAGCTCTGAAGCTCTTCCCTCGCAGATAAAATAAGAGCTCTGACAGTGGAGCGGAGCAGTTTGGACCTCATATCTCAGGCAGGACTGTCTGAAAGAGCCAAACAAGCTCGAGTCTCAGCAGGCAGGGGAGGTGCACGCCCTGCTCGCTATCCGAGCTGTCACATGTGTCACAGTGTCATCCACAAATGGATGTGTGTGAGTGAGAGAGACAGAATATGTGATTGCAGTTATATCTAGATCAAACTCTACTTTCAGGAAAAGCAAAATTCATTTTGAGGATCCTTTATTTATTTCTTCATTTTCACAAACATGCCATTCCAACATTCTGGTTAATCCCTGCGTGCTAGTATTCACTTGGAAACACTGTTATTGTGCATGTAGTGGGATGTTGCGTGAAAGGAACGGCTGATCCACTATCATCAGGGGCCAACCCCACTCTACTCAGTCTTTCCCTGGAGTAGAAAGGCCAGCCAATCAGAGAGGACGTGGCAATGAGTCACAGAGCGAGCGGACAGCATCCAGTGGACCGAGAGGAGCTGTCTCCCGCTCTGGGCACGGAAGCTGTAACGTCCATGGATGGAGTCATTTGCTTCAGAACATCCACATATGTGCGTTCACAACCAATATTTTCTGTTAAAAATATATCAATAGGCATACGTCTTCACGGTTTCATATTTTTCGCGTCAAAGTCATGAGATTTATGAGATTAATTTCAAACGTTGCTACCTTCTATTAAATCATACCACCCACTGCGCACCTCAAGGTGATGTGAAGGTCAGCATGTTGCCAACATACACTCCAGGCTGAGCATCACCCTGTTCAGGGTACAGTAAACCACTCAAAGTGAGCAGCTGTAAACAAAAACACTGAACAGGCTGTTTGAACGAGACCCCGAGACGTTCATCAACTATTAGTGCACTGGATCCCACCACACGGACACAAACAAGTAAGCCACATGGCAAGACAATGTGCTTAATTTAGTCTAAAACTGATAAAAACAACACATATTTAATAACTTAATTTAAAAATAGAACATGTGGAAAAGACGAGCAGATATTTCTGGTCCACTATTGGACATTCAAACCTTTTTTCAAATGAGCTACAAAAGCTTTTTGAATAAAAATTGAAGCAGAATAAACTTAGAAAGTGGTGTGTGCTGGTTCCACAGTAAGAAACCTCAACAGGGGTTATCACAATCAATGAGCCTTCCAGTCTGGTGTGGGCAGGGGAGCTTTGTACGGCCTCTGTCTTTGTTTATTTGTCTACTGTAACAAAATATGCATAGATGGAGGACTGGATAGAAAGGAAGGGTTCAATTCAGCTGAATGTGGGATAATGAGGCCAAAAAGAGAAGGGAGGAGATAAAGAAATGACAAACAGCAGGGAAGGCAGTGCAGTGATTCAATTACACTGTGAATTCTCATTAATCGACAAAGAAAATCCAGCACTGGACGCAGCTGCTAAATATGTCACATGTGTTGTCTGTTCCACGGCTCAGTTACGATCTCCACTGACGGCTCTGCTGCCACTGTGGATCTGGAGCTCAGCCCAGCCCTTACTGGGACTCTGACACTAACGCCACAGATCGTATCGGCTGCAGAGCCACTTGCAGCCTGATCCCAGCTCAAAAAAGAAACTCGCATCCGTTTGATTACTTCTAATGTTTCAAAACTAGAAAGAGACAGCAGAAAAGACGACGTGTGCAGAACTGTCTAATGTAAGTGTGTGTGTAAAAACACAAAAGGCACTAGTTCCTTCAAAACAAATGTTTATCTTTTGTTTCTCTGTTCGTAAATAGAAAATCTTTTGATGAGATCAAGTCATGAACTATTCCCTTCCTCTAGATAACATGACTCTTCCACATTTACAGTACTGTGAGCCATGATCACTGACATGCTCACACATAACAATCTCCATTTCAAGCAGCATGCACTCTTTTCAAAGCACCAACAGAAACGACAGCTGCTGTATATCCGTGCCATCATCACATCCACACTGTGATCCTACACTGTTTGTTTTTACTCTCTTACCTGGCAGCACGCTCTCTGTCCTGGGTCCTCTTCAAAATCCCAGGAAGGGCTTCAGACAAGTTCTGCTCTTGCTGAGAAGGCTGATGTTGCACTTTGGAAAGAAATAAAAAAAAAATAAAAAAAATTTGTTTAAAAACAACAACAAAAAAGTCCCCTTCTATTCACACGACGGCTTCAAGAAGCACTCGCGATCACACACTTGAACACCCAGTCAGCAGCTGTGGTGAGTGAGCAGCTCCCTGTTCCTTCCCTCTCTTACTGTCCGTGACACTCGCCTCCTCTCTTCCCGCCCACCTACTCCAGCTCCCCCCCACCCCAGCTTCATTCCTCCCTTACCTCTCTCATGCTTGCTCCTCTCCTGTCAGACAAAATGCACACATCCTCTCCATCTCTCAGCTCACTAATTTCTGATATTTTCCCCACCCACCTACACCTTCTGCTGGGTGAAAACAAATATCGGTCGGTGGTACTATTAGATGAGCGTTTCCACACACCATTTATAAACTTATTCTTGGTTTATGGAGCATTTCTGTAATAATGATCACAGAGAATAAAGAAAGCCCCCTGTGAAGCCCAATAACATTAGACAGTCTGATTAATGGTTAATGGTAATGAGGCATTCCTACTGTATATGATTACCGTTTGAAAGCTATAACCACGGCTCTTCCACACTTCTATTTCTTGATTTTCCCTCTCAACGTGTCTCACTCTGTTTATTCTCGTCTCTCTTCAGGTCCTGCTAAGTGATGCTGCTCACGTCCCATTCTGCAGACAGCTAGTCAAGGGCATTCCCAGAGTAAGTGTATGCTAATGCTCTGCCTCGAGAAACTGCCCAGCATCCTCTAGACACTCAGCCTGACCAGACATGGCACTGCTCTCCCAGAGAGGGGGCAGTAAGTGCAAAGACAAAAAAGGGCCCACCGGTTCACAAAGCAAACGGCATCGGATCAGACAAAAGTGTTAGCCAAAATTTAGCTTTAGCCGAGCCTTAAATCATTACATTTGGAGGTTAAAACTAAATGTGTGATCGTCGTGTCCCCAATGCTTCTTAAACTAGAGAAAATGTTTTTCCTGCAAAAATGCAGTATGAATGCTTATTGTAGAAGAACTTGCTGAAATTAGCTAAAAAAAAAAAAAAAACATGCTGAAATGTAGCTGAAATGGAAGAACATGCTGAAATTGCCAGATGAAAGCAGAAAAAACACAAATTTGCTTAAGTAAGGTTCAATAAACCGAAATGATCACAAAAATGAAGAAAGTAGCAAAAAATGCTGAATTTGCAAGAAAAATAGCTGAAAAGCAGCTGATAAGTAGCTGAAAAAGCAGAAAGAAGTGTAAACTACCAGAAGGAAGTGTAAAGTGATGGAATGAGTTAAAATGTGTAAATAACTGAAAAAGCTCAAATTAGCATAAAAAACAGCTAAATAGTAGCTGAAATAGCAGAAAAAGCTAAAACTAGCCAACAATAGCTGAAAGGGACAACAAGTTGAAATTACCAGAAAGAAGTTAATTAGGCTGAACGTAGCAGAAATTACCAAGAAAAACTTGAATTTATCTGAAAACAGCTAAAAACAGCTAAAAACACTTAAAAACTTAAAAAAAAAAAAAAATAGCTGAAAAAGAAGAACAAGCTTAAATTTGCAGAAGAAATCAGAAGGCACATGTTTGTCCAATTAGGCTGAAAGAAACAGAAATTATTACAAGAAAGTGGATATCAGAAAAAAGCTTAAATTGGAAGAAAAAAACTGTTGAAAAGTAGCTAAAAAGGCAGAAAGAAGCTTAAATTACCAGAAGGAAGTGGAGAGAGCACATTGTTAATGAATTAGGCTGAAAAAAGTTTAAATGAGTGTAACAAATGTGAAATTAGCTGAAAAAGGTAAAAGTAGCATAAAACAGCTAAATAGTAGCTAGAATTGCAGAAAAAGCTGGAACTTGCAGAAATAAGCTGAAAGGAGCAGAAAGAAGTTAGAAGAAGCACAAAAAAATGTTATAGTTAGTTAAAAGAATCGGAAAGGCACACAAAACAGCTGAAAAACCAGCTGAAATTAGCTGAAATTAGCCAAAAGTAGCCGAAAAATGTTTAAATTTGCGCAAGGAATATGAAAGAAGCTGAATCAGAACAACATGTGAAAGGAGCAGTTAAGTTTTTAAACAGATCCTTTTTTTTTTTCATGTTTTTTCATTTAGCCTTTATTTATACAGGTAGTCTCATTGAGCCACGAGAACTCATTTTCAAGAGAGAACTGTTTTAGGGAGCAGATGGGGGTTAAGTGCCTTGCTCATGGGCCCAGATCTAAAGATTTGAAGGTAGTAAAATGAGCTCAGTTCATTTTCTATGAAAAAAATGGCAGAAAAGGCTAAATATTTCAAAAAAGCTAAAGTTGCACCAATACCAAAAGTCATGGCAGGATTGTCTTGAAAAAGCTGAACGTTTTGATTTATGATTTGTTGAAATAGCTTAAAAACTGGGGGATGAGAAATACGCCCAAAAACGTATGGAAGAAAAATGGATCACAGTTGTGCAACTGTTTCATAAACATTCACACAATTATTGTCTTTCAAAAAGTTACTTTACAAATGTACTTTACTTTACAGCACCAAATATTGAGTTGTTTGTACACGGCTATGACTTTTGACACCAGAAACTGTTATCTTTTGTTTTTTGTTTGTTTGTATTTTTACACTGAGTTTATGTTTGAAAAGTATTTATTGTGAGGAAATTTAAGTCATTTGCACATTAAAGATGACTAATTACAAGTCACCCAAAATTACTGCGATAACCAGGAAATAAAAATAAATAAATAAAACTAATGGGGATTAAGATAATGGGTTTGAATGTTAAAAGTGATATAATGGAAAATAGATGTAATTTTTTTATCAAGGTATTGTGTTAATTATTTTATGTTTAAAGGCATTTTAATGCAGTCTGAATACAGAGATAATTTAAACATTTTAAGCTTTTTTGAGAAGTCTGTTGGGATTTTTGTTTAACACTGCTTGACTGATTTAATTGTAAATGCATGTTTTTATTCGGTATCATTTTGTGTTGATAATCTTTACTCATATTTACTGTATATTTTGAGCTCCATGTTCAATCCTGCTGAGACACTCGGGAGACATTTTGTTCTGTTCTGTTCAGCCCGGTCTTGTTTTTGTCAGAATACTTGCTTTCAGTTTTACATGTATTCATTTTTTGAACAGTTTCATCTCCAACCTGTGTTTATTTTTGACTTTTTAATTGTTGAAAAGCAATGTTTTCTCCATTTAATCGAAGGTCCTAATAATCCAAAAAGCTGGAAATAAAAATGTACATCAAACAAAAGCTCAGGCGTCAGGAGGTTAAAGTTTTATTGCAGATGCACCTCAACGTCTGCTTTGCAGAAATGTTGTCTTTTATTACAATCCATCACTTTGGACACACAACTGATGACTATAATTTAAACGTGTCTGCTTCATGCTTGATTTTTTTCAGTTGACATTGTTTTTAATCGAAAAAGATAAATACAAACATCTCTAATTTTATGAGTAGTGTCAAAATCTTAATGTGTTTCTGAAAAAAATAGAGACTAAGTCAAATATGATTACAAATCTTATGGGTATTCTTTTTCCTAATCAGCCATCTTTTCAATGCAAGGGATGCAGCACATAAGAAAATCTTTGCAACACTAATATCACAATCTGGATTCACTGTAAACTTTTAATCTACTATCAAAACAGACTATAAAAGCATTAGGGGTGATTTTTAGATATTTGGCTGCAGTATCTGCACAGTGTGCACCCAGGGGACATTATCTTGTTTTACTTTGCATCTCTGGCAGAACTGTATGGGTCTCTATGTTCCCTGCAGTTGATGGACATGACTTGATGTGACCTTTTGAAAGGGTCACACTTAAAACTGCAGGTCGATTTGTAAATGTTATTAAAAGCCTAAACATCCCAATTGTTAAATATTTAAACAGACATCATGTGTCCACTTCTTGATCTTAACCATTACATAGTCTCATTATTGCATCTTTACATTTACATTTTAAAAGGTGACTTACTCTGCACTGTGCAGTCCATCTGAATATATGAGTCTTAGATGACTGCAGCAAGCTATAACTAGCAGATGCTTAATGTGCATGCTCATGTCAACTATACACGTTTTAGCAAAAAACACTGCATGTAAATAAAATGCACAACTTCTTAAAACTCACCGAGACAAATACTTTATTTGACACAACTGATATAAACATACAGACTAGGATAGTATATATAAACAGGACAGAGGTGAAACAAACAGGGTGTCCTTGTTAATGATTACCAAGTAAGGCTCTGCACAGCGTGTTCCTCTCTACATAAGCCATGGTTCATCGATGATGTGAATGTACTGTCTGTTGTGTGGACGCTGGAGGATCGATTACTCTGAAAGTGATGTGGCCGATGCAAATCTGTGGCTCAGCAGTCTTATGGGGTGACCCTAAAGAGCAGAAGAACTGGATCCACTCGGTGGGGTGCAGGTTTTAGAAAAATCTGTTTTGCCCAACAAAGTCTAAACCCATATTCCTGCTCTTTACTACCACAGCTAGGGTTAACGTGAAGTACAAGTTTCAAAGCGATAGCCAACCAAAAAGGAAACCACGTTTTTCTGTTTTCACTTTGTAGATACCTTACAGCTAAATAGTTTGGAAAACTTAATACTATTTGCCAAATCTAAAACAAAGAGAAGCAAAAAAGTGACTAAATTGCACGTTGGAATGATTGGTGCTATAAACAATGTTTAAAGGAATCCACATTGTTCCTCATGAGATCCGAGAAATCAACATGTGTAATCAAAATTAATCATAGAAAAAACACTGGAACAATAAGTTTTTATACTTGTTTGCAGAGTTATTTTCTGCTAGAGAGTATTAATATGAAATCCATGAACATTAGTTAAATTTCACTATATATATATATATATATATATATATATATATATACACTCACACACACACAGTAGTCCCTCGTTTTTCGCAGTTTCTAAGGATCATGCCCACCCATGATAAGCGAAAAACCGCGAAGTAGGGATTCAGTAGTTCAAGTTCATGTTCAGTTCAAGTTCAATAAACTTTGTCATAACATGTGCCAAGCTGCAATCACACTCATCACCTATTACTCTGCTGCTCCTGCTGATCACAGCTCTTCAAAAAAATAAATAAATGAGTTCAGTGTTTGACAGAAAGGAGCAGCCACTCAACACTATTTATTGCTATTAATACAGACAAAAAT